AGCATGTCTACATCTTTTTCAACACCAGGCACGTTGGGCAATGGCCTAGGATAAAAAGGACTCCCAGAAGTAAGGGGAGAATTATGATTAAGAATGAAAACATTGCAAACTTCTGGTATCTCCCTAGAAAGATGCATGTCAAACAGTTCCTGCCAAAGCCATAGCCAGGAATACTAACAAGTTAAAATACTACTTAAGAAGAAAAGGTGCAAGAAATAGAAATATACTGGAACCAGGAAGGACTGAGGGTCCAGATGTTCTGCCTGATAATATCCTATTTTAACTGACAGTTAATTGGGCAAAGTTATAAGCTGAAACCTAATGGTAAGGAGGTGATTTTACCTTTATAGTAAACAACATTTCTCCCTCCAACAGGGAAATTAAAAAAACTAAAAAAAGGAGACTGATTCACTGATCCAATAGGAAATTCAGCAAAGAATTAAAGTGAGTCAAGCCTACAGGAGTGAAAGAGCGGCATGGATACACTTTTCTTGGTCTCACAAAAAAAAGCTAGGCTATTACCAAAAAATGTATTAAAAATAATGAACACACAAGAAAACGTCTGATCTAGAAGCAGTGCCCATTACATTCTGGTACAGACACAGAACGGTAGGTTAAACAATATTACAGTGTAATGATCAATTTTCTAAATCACTGAGTGAATTTCACAGAAGCAGCATGGTTCCATGCGCCACTGAGCCCCAGCAGCTCTACATGGCCAGAATTACTCAGCCGTTTTACACGGTCAGAATTACTAGCATAACGTGCAAAAAAGACATCTTCATGATCAGAAGTTGAGACATATACACGCATAAGAACAGATAATAAAATGTAAAGGTCCACAGGCATAGCAGATAAGGTCAAGAGTCTCAACCCCAATTCACATGTTAGAGAAATGTGGGACAAACAGGGCTGGGGGAGATTACACTGCTCTCCCAGTGTAATTATGATTCATGGTTACACATCCCTCATCTACACAAAAAATGAATGTCTAGTCTTAATGCAAATGATGTTCATTTCGTCAAGATGTTAAGTTAGTACTATACTCATCACTACTGATTTCACGTGAAATACCATGCATCCTGGCACATCACAGCTCAGTATTGCTACAAGAGAGGCGTGAGGAAAAGCCATGCAGTTTGCAGATGCTTTCACACAGAAAGACAGTACAAACTGATGCTCTTCTATGATTTGCTTTGAACACTGGAGTGTTGTCAAACATATAGGAAATTAATGATCTATGTAAAATGTCTCTGTTGGATGCTATAATGATTTCTTTCCAGTCTGAAATGACCACTACACTGGCAGCCTGTAAGACTTTTACAAAAGGTGTGCTAGATAGCTTTATGGTTATGCACAAAACTGCCACTGTTAAACTCTCTCCAAAGTGCTTGCTCTAGAATTAGCATTACAAATCCCACTCTCTAATTCGCTTAGGAGCACAAGTTACTTCATCTATACCTGTGTATTAAGCCACTGTGGCAGTGCTTACCTGCATTGCTACGATTTGATTGCCTGTTTTCAACTAACATGCAGTACAGAACCTCTGCCTTAACTGTACTAAAAACTACAATTCAGCAGCAGTGCGAGTCAGACATGTTTTGCTAGAAAGAGTCACTCCAGAACTCTCTCCTAGCAACGTCTTTGATCCTTCCCTCGATTGCAAACCCCTTCCGACCATTCTCTCCCCTTTTCTCTCCTCTAAAGCTTCAGAGCCTGAGCCAAGCACTGGGGAATCTGCAAGATCCACAGCATATTTGAAGGGGAAGGCCACTTCACACCTATAAACTACTGCTTCCACAACTCTTGGGGAGCTCTCTTCTCTCTAACATCTTCCTCATTAGTCCTTCCACCCTTGATTTTCCTATCGCCAGCTCCCTATTGCACTACAGCCCCACCATCTGAGAGGGGGATGACATTAAAAGATGATGATTAGCTGGACTTGACCAAGATTCAACTTGTCTTGTAATGTTACTGCAGAATGCAATGCCCCCCCCTTCCCTTCTCAAAATGCAAGGTTACAACACCAAGTCACACTGGAAGCACAGAATAGAGCACGCAAAAGCAGTATTCATGACTGCCAGAAAAAATGTCATTTGCATAAACAGTCATGGGGAATGTGTTTGTCAAAAAGATACATCCTTTTCCTGATACTAATCTGAAAATGCTAAAATATAAGCTGCTAAGCAGTATCAGCAGCAGTGATTTGGCTGAATGTATTGGAAAGGATAAAGAAATGTGAATCGTTCGCTTAACAGGTATCCCACATTGGTGCAAAAGACTTCTGAAACAGAAGTTTGTTGCTGAAGGCTTTTTTATTATTTTCAAGACAGAAGCTGCTTGATGACCATGTGGAAAATGCAATGAACTTCACTGTTTTTATGACAGACATTAAAACCAAACCTTTAAGTAGCTTAAACAACACAGATGAAGTTCCCCTGTGATTCATTATTTCCGTGACAAGAATAGTTGATGAAACAGTTACAAAAGGCATTACAGTTTTTAGTGTGGGACTGGAGAATATGTTACAGTTACATTCTGTTACTCCCTTGCAGAGAAGGAGTCAAACACAGGCTTATTTTCACTTAGAAAATGATGCCCTAAGAAACTGGCAAAGATGCTTGTGTATCAATTAATGAAAAAGAACATCTGCTCTTTTTCAAGAAAGGAAAAGACAGGAAAGGAAAAGGCACTATTACCTAAAAGTAAGCCAGATGATTTTCAATCTATGAAGTTATCTTTCCTTGAATGCCACATATGCACACTGTCAGTTCAGGGTCATTAAAGCTTTTTATAAAACTGGAATGATGTCCGCAATGTCTGATAGGAATTAGTACCATCATTTATCATTGCTATTAACTAGTGTTCTAAAGCATTGTCTGCCACAAATAGGAGAAATGAATACAAAAAGTACTACAGGAATATATCAAATAAACAAACAAAAAAACCCCAAAATACACATAGCAAAATGAAACGCAAAGTCTTTGCAGAAGCACACGTTTGAGTTGTCAATACCTGAACACCTGGCAATGAACTCACGAACAGCAAGTTGCTCTTGCACTACACATGCCAAATTCAATACTGAGGATCCAGACAATTCCTCAAGAAATGAAAGTAATTACAATTTAACACTACTTGTAAATACCACCTGTAAGTCACAGAAAGGTAACAAAAATAATGTATGTCTTGATGCTGACACACAACATACCTTTTAATAACAACAAAGACTTTGGGTTAAATGGGATGAAGTGCAATTATTACCAAGTTATAATCAAAACCAAGAGTGACCGTAACTAATGCCTATTTGCTAAGCGTTTATAACAAGCGGGACAGCATATACCTGTAAGTACCCTCATTTTTTTCTAATGGCCTTTGGTGACAACTCTGAAGCTGTGGATTACCTGAGAGGAAAACACTGATTCTCTGTCACCAAGATTTCTCCTAGGAATGTACTTGATTTAACTAAACTCCAGGAACACAGTAAGTTATCGGGGGAGTGGAGGGGGCAGAAATCAAGAGACCTACACATCCCAGAAAGCCAACAACCTCATAATTAATGTGCCAGTCCAAGTTACAAATGTATAGAGGACTGAATTAACAACTGAGCTAGACTCAGTCCTACTGCAGTCTTACAACACCACATTTAGTTTACAAATAGCGAAACAGCAGCATGAGCAAGATTCAAGAGAGAGAAACAAGATCGTACCCTATACCCCAAGTGACTAAAAATAAGGGACTGGATGGGTCAAACACCTGCTCCTTTTATTTCTACAAAGCATAAAAATTTTAATACTAAACATCAAGTGGCTCTCCACGGAATCAAACAACTCAATCCCTAATTAGGATCAAGAACCTCGGCACAGGACTCTTAAACCCAAGCTGTTCTATGAATATCCACTTCAGCTTTTTATCAAATCAGCTTCAATGAACTTCATTTCCCACACACACACACACTGAAGAAATGGAAAAGAGTATCCAAAGCCTCAAAAACATAATAGGAGAAAAAAATCCAGCCCTACTTCACACCAGTGATAAATATTTTGAAAATTCCTTCCCTAGTATGTAGCAAATAACTTTTTCCAGATACTTAATTATTTATTGTAAGGCTCAAAGCCAAACTCAATGAGATCAGGTATTATAAGATGTTGAATCTCAATTTACACAGACATAAAATAACTTGCATTTTTCTTTCCATCAGCTCTAAGAAGTTACAGTATTTTCCTATCAATGTTTAAGGAAGCAAGAATTAAGATGAGCCTTACTTAAGAGCCTTATGTGAGATTCCCACGTTAACACTTTCAGCACAAAGCAAGGGAAAAATATGTAATGGACAGAAAGTCAATGGAATGGTAATCTTGCTTTTTAAGTACACACATAAGTACATACATAAAGTTTTGAGCAATTATGGCATAAGGATACAAAAGAGTAAAAAAAGGATTTGATTTAGATGACTTATTCTCTTGAGGGCAGACCAAAAGGACTTTCAGAAGCTGCCTTTACTGAAAAAGAATCTCTATATTACATGCCTAGTTTTGTAAATCTTTCCAAAGGCTGCTTGTGTAGAATACGGTGGGCCAGGATACGGCCTCTGGATAATTCAGGTATGTAAAATGCCTTCTGACTTCCCTAGTGTCTGTTTGGCCTTTTCCACTGATGAAAGAAACCAAAGTTCATTTTATTTATTTCCACTCTTCAAGATGTGCATTCTTAAACTGAGTAATTTTTTGAGTGCAATTCTCACATAAGTGTAGGTGGTATAAACTTAGAATCTTACACAACTTTACTTTTTCCTCACTTAAGAAACCAGAGCCTAATTTAAAACTGTAGGATCATAGAAACATCTGTTCATTTTTGAAGCTACCAGTATATGAAATATTTCAAATAGCAAAACAGACAAGAAAAAGCAAAACATCAAGTTCCCACAGGCTATGACTTCAACATTTCTTCTGCTTTTTATCTCCTCATTGATAGGCAAAGAGGCCAAGAAGCATTCAGCATACCTGCTCCAACTTCATTTTCTTCTTCTTCAATGTTGTTTTTGATACTGTCGTACTCCTCATCAATTGCCTGGTTGCCACGCATTTGAGACAGAATTCTCCGTGCTCTCTGAGTCTGGCCTTTCTGAATGAGCCAGCGGGGACTTTCGGGAAGAAAGAGGAATCCAAGAAACTGTATAACTGCGGGAACAGCCGACAGGCCCAGCATGTACCTGGAAATAAATAAATAAATAAATATCTAATATTTGCCTACAAAAGCATGCTATGAGAAGACTCAGCTACAGCTACTCAAGCTGTAATTTACAAATCAAACCCTCCTCCCCGCATATTCATCACCAGAAGTTAAGCAGGGAAGAATCATATTCTGCAAGTATTTTAGAAAACAGGACCCTCGCTTTCAATTCCAGAAAATCTCAAGGACATGTTGACTGTTCTGCCACCACTGACCCTACAGCTACTGGTCCCGAGGACACTAAGTCAAACTAAATAAAAACCCTGAAACATTCTAGTAGTTAGGAAACTGATAATCCCTTTGGTGAAGATAAAAGAATGAACAGAAAGAGAAATCAGAGGCACAGAGAGCAAATGGGTACTGCTGATGGCAAAAATGAGACTAAAATCCTGCTAATTGATTTACAGACGTATAAAAAAAAAATAAACCCAAAACCAGCCAATGAAAAGTGCTTAATTTGGTCAGTAATATGTATACACAGACACACAGTGACCAAGGAACACGCCTCTTGTTTAAGGAGATGTCTGTTTTACTTTTGAAAATTTCTGACTATCAACATAGAATCAAGATAGAATTGTTTAGGTTGGAAAAGACCTCTAAGATCATCAAGTCCAACCATTA